GGGCTTGGGGTTTAGGTTTTAGGATTTAGGGTTCAGGGTTTAGGGCTTACAGGGTTTAGGGTTTAGGGTTGGCGGTTTAGGTTAAGGAGCTTGGGTCTATTCCGTTGAATCTTTAGGCTTCAGAATGTAAATAGGGCTTTGTTTAGGGTGTAGGGTTTAGGGTCTTTGGGTTTATAAAAGAGCCTTTCTTTAGGGTTTAGGGTTTGGGCTTTAGGATTTATAAGGGCCTTATTTAGGGTCAGGGCTTAATTAGGGTTAGGGCTTAGGATTTAGGGTTTAGGGTTAGGGCCGGTTAGCGTACGGGCACAGGGTTCGGTGATGGGTCCATCTTGGAAGCTATTGAGGGACTTATGGTTTTGTGCTCGAATGGGACCCGGGAACAAGAAAGGTTTAGGGTTTAGGGTTTAGGGTTTAGGGTTTAGGGTTTAGGGTTTAGGGTTTAATATTTCCAAAGAGAGTACAATTCGAGAATTAAAGGTTGTAGGTATCCTTATCCCGAACTTTTACCGAGATCCCATCAAACGAAATACCATTGCATCTTCATGTTTGCTTCATCTTTGGAGGCTTGATCCGATTTCAGGAGACTTGCTTCGTTCTTGCCGAAGGCTGAATGTAAACACTCCTCGATCCGAAAGCCTAAACCCTAAACCCTAAACCCTAAACCCTAAACCCTAAACCTAAGCCCTGAGCTCCAAGCCCAAACCCGAAACCCTAAACCGAAAGAGTGAGTCAACCCAATAGGGTTTAGGGTTTAGGGTTTAGGGTTTAGGGTTGAAAGAGTGAGTCAACCGAACTTAACTGAACCCTAAAGAGGTGCCTGAGGTCTCATGAAGCCAGCAAGCTCAAGACCCCGTTCTAAGCCCTAGGATTTGTGCCATGCTGTTCCGTAGGGTTTAGGGCTCAGGGTTTAGGGTTTACTATGACGAGAAGACTGAAAGGGTTAGGGTTCAGGGCTTAGGGCTTACTGTGACGACAAGACTAGAAGATATCCCTACCAAAGTTGCGGAAACAGTGCGGCTTGCACTTCCCCTAAGGGTCCATGTACCCAAATAGTAGATACTTTGGCCTTAAAGTAGTCCATATTTGGGTACTTTGGGGCCAAAGTACCTACTATTTGAGTACATGGACCCTCAGGGTTCTGCCACATCTTAGCCTTCAACCATGGACCTTCAATTCCCCGCCTCCCCCTCGCCTTAAACCCTCTGGCCTTCAGCCGTTTATAAAGCCGTACGAACCCTACTGTCACGGTTTCAAGTCTATTCATAAACACATATATATACATATATATATATATATCTTAACCTATATCTAAAACGAACCCCGCAAACATGAACCCCTAAACCCTAGGCCCCAAAAACCCCTAAAGCCTGAACAAGAGCCGAGGACCTCGTGGACAGCGATGCCCGCTGGCTCGCCCAGTTCTTCCGACAGGCCGGGGCCTGCCCAGCGAAGGGCTTTTGTTTACAAGGGGCCTTAAGAGTTAGAAGAGTGTTTTTTCGGGGGTTCCTTTAAAGGGTTCCTTAAAGGGTTCTATAAGGGCTACTAGAAGGGTTTGGGGTTTTGGGGCCTTAATAGATAGAATAGGGTTTTGGGGGCCATTCTACTCGAATCATAACAAGGAATCCCCCAAAATAGTGTTGGTTATTCATTTAGGCCCCTATATTAGGTGCTCGTGAAGCTTGTAGGGTTTAGGCTTTACAGGATTTTGGTTTTAAGGGTTAGGGTTTAGGTTTAGGGTCTAGGGCTTGTTTAAAGTTGCATGTAATGGATGTTGTATGCATATAGGTTGGTAGAGCTTTCTGGTCTTGTGGGATCTCAAATTGTCCGACTGAGGGTTTGGGGGGCTTGTAGGGCTTTCCAAAGTTAATATTATGGGATCCTTCAGGGAGGGGGTTCAAAGGGGGGTATACAACCCAATCATCCCTTATTCCCCCTAGTGCCCCGAATAACCCTGAGACCCTCTCGATCCCTTAAAGTACCCCACTCCTAAACCCTAAACCTAAAACCTAAAACCCTAAACCCCTAAACCCTAAACCCTAAACCTAAAACCCTGAACCCTAAACCTAAAACCTAAAACCCTGAACCCCAAACCCCCTAAACCCTAAACCCCTAAACCCTAAACCTAAAACCCTGAACCCTGAACCCTAAACACGAAAACCCTAAACCCCTAAAGTCCCTACAGGTTCTCTAAGGTTCCCTACTAACCCTACCTTCCCTTACGGATCCTACGTTGGAACCATGGATCCACAAATCCGAGTCCCGCCAACGCCCGAAGGCCCTGAATCAACGAGCTGAAAGTACGCGTATCGGATATCCACTAAATCCTAAACTCAAACCCTAAATCCTAAACCCTAAATCCTAAACCCTAAACCCTAAACCCCTAAACCCTAAACCCCTAAATCCTACAAGCTCCAAAGCCCAAGTCCGTAGTGGGTTCTTCGGCAGCAAAGCCATTCCGGGACTTTCAAGGTTTAGGGCTTAGGGTTTAGGGGCTTTCAAGGTGGGCGAACTCGACCCCTTATGCAACCTCATGGCGCTCATGTATTTAAACCTCACACCCTACTCCTATGTACTCAATAGTTGTCCGATCAGTGTGCAATTTATATAGCGAGTTCAAGAAACCGGATAGACATGGTCGAGTTACCACGCCCAGATTTGTCAGACCGTCTAGAAAGGCGTGCTTGGGCTGGGGACGCAGGGTAGATAAAAGTGCTTCATAGCAGGATTCAGTGCCAGAAACCCCGAGCCACTAAGCGCTTTTAAGCAGGCTTTGAACGTTGTGTGGAAAGCCATATAATAGAAACGCCAATCTGGGTTATCGCCTTGTCTGCTGAAGCCTAAATAACCACGCCCCAAAAACGCCGCACCCTTATTACAGAAAACAAACAACCCCAAAAACCCTAAACCCTGAACCCTAAACCCTAAACCCTAAACCCCTAAACCCTAAACCCTAAATCCCCCAGATCTAAAGCCGAAAGTCTGCAGGTCAACTGGGATTCCCGGGATGAAGCGAAGCTGTTCCTTGCCTGAGGTGTTGAAATCCGAGCTTGTTGGTTTAGAGCTGTGGAGTCTTGTGGTGATTTCTTAACGCGCTGCTTCAAGGGATCTAGAGGGCTTGGGGTTAGTATGATGTAGCGGTCAATAATTAGACATTAGAATAGGGTTTTGGGGTAGATTATACCATAAGTATAATGAGGAGCCCCCCCCAATAAATAGTATAGGTAATTGTTAAGGCTCCTATATTAGGTTCCGGACTCAAAGTGCTTCTGAGAGTTCTGTGTACTTTCGGCTTAGGGTTTCCTGAATTAGGCAGAATCAGACCGTATGCAACAACCCATGTCGGAGCAGACGGGACCTACCTTGGGCCCTGCGCTTGCAAAAAAAAATGCAACAACCCAAAGCAAAACTTTGTGTCTTGTGATTCCTAGATTTACTTGGTAATTAGTTGTTTCAACTTTAAATCCCTAAACCCTAAATCCTTCTGAGCCTTAAACTGCGACTTAGACCTGCGAGAACGCCAGATCCGATGTGTTGCAAGGCTGCCCTCAGGTTGGATGATGAGAGGGGGGAAACCCTAAACCCTAAACCCTCTTCTGAATCTTTCGCCCCCCCCCCCCAAGAAAGGCAAGAAGTCGTGAACATGTTCAAGAACTCAGAAGCCTCAACGGTTTAGGGTTGAGTGGTTTAGGGTTTAGGGTTTAGGGGGTTTAGGGTTTCCCAAAGCAGCCAGCCTGAGGAAACCCTGAGAAAAGAACAGGTAGAGCCTCAAGCGCATTGTAACACCAACATGAAGAGCCCCTCGCAGCCAACCCTGAAGAAACTCCCCACAACAAAGAGCTGAAGATAACCCGTAAAGAGCGTTGAAGAAATCACCCCCAAAGCTCTGTTGAATGACCCGTGAAGAAAGGGGTTTGAAGAAGTTCCCTAAACCTTGATTTATATAGGGACCTGAATAACTACCAATACTTTTTGAGGGTTCCGCACTATATATTGTATTATAATATACCCCAAAACCCTAGTGTAGTGTTTAAGGCCACTACCATATAGAACCCTAGTAGTAACCATTGTTCGACCCCTCTATCGGCACCCTTATTTTTGGAACCCTAGTCTAGTTGTTAAGGCCCCTACCCTAAGGGTCCAAGTACCTGATAATATATACTCTCCCAAACCCTAAACCCTAAACCCAAAACCCTAAACCCTAAACCCTAAACCCTAAACCCTAAACCCTAAACCCTACATAACTCCTGTCCGAAACCTAAGTACCTGATTGTTGCGTCCTTCGGACCCTTGGGGCTATATTAAGCCGAGCCCTAAACCCTAAACCCTAAGCCCGAAGCCCGAAGCCCTAAACCCTAAACCCTAAACCCTAAACCCTAAACCCTAAACCCTAAACCCTAAACCGAGCTCAACCAGCCGAGGTGCGTCGAGCTCCTCGAGAGACACCATGGCGTACTGCCCGGCCGGGAGGCCGGTTTCGACCGGCTAGAACGGGTCTGGGTGGTTTAGGGTTTAGGGTTTTGGGGTTTTGGGGTTTTAGGGTTTTAGGGTTTTTTGGGTTTTTGGGTTTAGGGTTTAGGGTTTAGGGGTTTAGGGTTTAGGGTTTGGGGTTTAGGCTTGGGAGTTCGTGTTTAGGGATGTTTAGGGTGTACGGTTTAAGGGTTTAGGCAGGCTTTTGCACGGTTTGTTTAAATCGAGTTTTAGGAGATGTAGAAACGGAATCTAGGGACCTATAATTTGGCAATCGGCCAGAATAGGATGTTAACATACGGCATATTTTTTTGTCCCGTGATAAAGTGAGTCTCTGAGTACCGACTACTGCTGGGAACCCAGCTGACAGGGTTACACG